GGTCTGTGCAATCCTTCTGCCTAGTCCGCCATCTTGCCCCGCCTCTTAAGTAGCTTTTTTTAAAAAATTGAAAAAAAAAAAGTACTACCTATGCATGGATAATAACAACATTTCCAGTATTACTAACAGCTGTGTAATGACCAGTTGGTCTCCCCACCACCCCCCGCCCCAGTCTCCTATTTTAAGAGGCTTCTACTCAAGAGACAACAACTAACGTAATATTCTCAGGTAACTAAAACATATTTCTTGTCAGAATACCTTTGTTCATAAATTTTTATCCCATCCATTATTATACTGTCTTTTATTATACTGTTCTTTTTGTTGTTTTTATGTCTCATTTTTTATGAAAATGCATTTGGGGATAATTACATGTTCCTTAGATACACTGTTTGTAGTTGTATGGTTGTGTCCTATGGTAAGAACAAATACACTTGCATTGTTGTTATGAAAACGTAGAGTGGTTAGTGCTAGGCTGGTTACAAAGAAAAAATAATGAAATCTGCAGTGTTGAAGATTAATTCTTCAAAGAAGATGGTGCATTCCAAGTGAGCAAAAAACATCATTCCTTCCACACTTGGAGTTGAAAATCAAAACTCACACGTAACATTCAACTGATTATGGGAACTTATTTTCTGATATGTTGTCAGATATTAAACGTACACATCTCCATGTGCTGCTGGCAGTGTGTATTAACCCAGTTCTTAAAAATAAATTGGTCATCAGCTTTGTAAGGATATGTGACCGTATGGATTGGACAGTAAGGACAGTATGGTTAAAAATAAACTAAGGTAAACAAACAAACAAAAAAAAACACACACACACACCAAACTCACTGCCATCGAATCGGATCTGACTCATAGAGACCCCTCCCTGGGTTTCCAAGGCAGTATCACTACGGAAGTAGATTGCTCAGTCTTCCTGCTGAGGAGTTGCTGGTGGGTTTGAACCACCAGTCTTCTAATTAGCAGTCAAATGCCGTAACACTGCACCACCAGAGCTCCCAAACCAAGATCAGGAGAGACTAAATCTAGGACTAAGAAATATGAAAGATTTGAGGATTAGTTTGAAGCTGGTATTTAGGTGAGCAATTGCAATTCATTCATTTCATATCTGGACAAGATCCTTTGTTAAACTCTTACCTCCATTTGCCCTTCATATAAAGAATTGATATCCAGAAATATTTATAGAGGGTACACTGTTTAAAAAACTTTTATTGTGACCTGGGTGAAAGTTTACGCGCAAATTCATTTTCACATAGCAGTTTATTGACTGCAATTTCCTACAATACAATAGCTCTCTTCCCACTTCCTCCCCATAGTCACCTCTTCCCTGTGTCCTTCCCTCCCAGGCGCTCTTGCCCCTCAAGCTGTCTCCTTTTGCAAACACTCCTTCTGTTCTCCCATGATGGATCACTCTAAAGAGTGTATCTACCTGATGTAAATGTTCACTCCATATGTCTGTCTGTTTGGCTGGAAGCCACAGGAGTTCAGTTCCAGACCTGAAGAGCAGCTGGGGGTCATAGTCTCAGGGGTCTCACCGGGCTCTATCAGACCAGCAAACCTGGTCCTTTTTTTTTTTTTTAAATGATTTTGAGTTTTGTTCTACATTGTTGTCCCACTCTATCTAGGATCTCCTGCGCCAAACCCTCTCCAAGTGGTTGACAGTGGTAGCCAGGCACCATCTAGTTTCTTTTAGTCTTGTGGTCATATAGGCTGAGGATCACATGGTCTGCTAGTCCCTTGGACTGATTGTTTCCCTGTGTCTTTGGTTTTCTTCATTCTTCTTTGCTGTGGACAAGGAGAGACCCATTGTTGCATCTAGATGGCCGCTTGTGAGCTTTTAAGACCCCAGTCACTGCTCACCAAAGTAGGATGTAGAACAGTGTTTTTGTGAAGTATGTGGAATGTATACTTTTTTGTAATCTAAAAATAAGAGGATAAAATTACACAAGTATCTTGGTTTGGAATTAGTTTTCTGTTGTAATATTTATTAATCTTTGACATTGTGACTTCCCGTTTACTGAAAAATTATGGTGAACCCCTTGTTAATATTATCATTGGAAACTTAGCGAGAATGTGGGACAGTTTTTCTGCACTTGGAGTTCTAATTTCCATATTTCCAGGAATAGCAAAATCCATGAATATTCCTCCCTTTGCACCTGCCTCTTCCTTCCTCTGCCCTGAACACCCCCTGCTATGTATGGGGTGTTAGCTTTCCCCGGAGGTTACCAACCATCTGAGTAATTTGCCCATCATGCATCATGCAAAATGCATCTGCTAGGTACCAGGTACATTCAAAAGAAAAATGATGTCTACTTTGAGACCAGCCAGTTTGTTACGGTTGTTGTTGTTAGGTGCCATCAAGTCGGCTATAACTCATAGTGACCCTATTATGCACAACAGAGTGAAACACTGCCCAGTCCTGAGTTTTCCAGTAATATATCAGACAGTGTTTCACTGCTATGCATAAGGTTTTCACTCCCCAGTTCTTTGAGAAGTGAATGGCCCCCTTCCCTCTTCCGAGTTTGCCTTAGTCTGGAAGCTCCACTGAAACCTGTCCCCTATGAGTTACTCTGCTGGTATTTGAAATACTGGTGGCACAGCCTCCAGCCTCACAGCAAAATGCAAGCCACCACAGTGGTGGTTGTTAGGGTTATGGGAGGCCATTTATCCGTGTCACATCCCTACTTTAAAGATGAAATCATGACACCTTTTGTAAGCATGTATGTTTTAGGAAGTCCTGTCATTTTCCTAGGTGAATATGTTAGAGGAAACTATGGGCATCCATTTTACTTGTGAGATTTGAATATCCAAAAAACAAACCAGTACCATCTCAACGTTCTCACTGCCACTGAGTCGATTGTGACTCATAGCAACCCTCATAGGATTTCTAGGGCTGTAAATCTTTATGGAAGTAGATTGCCTCATCTTCCTCCCACAGAGCAGCTGGTGGGTTTGAACCACCGACCTTCTGGTTAGCAGCCAGGTTACCTTACACACTGGGCCACCGGAGCTCCTCTATTTTAATGTTAGACTTAAAAAAAAAAAAAAAAAAACTGGGTTATCAAAATTTTCTTTTCATGTTTTTCCACAACACAATACTCAGTCTAGGTATTGAATTTTCTTCACTGAACAGCTTCCACACCCAAAACAATGATCTCTTAATTAATAGCACCTTTTAAATGGAGTGTAATAAAACTGGAAAAGAGTAAATGGAGTATTTTTGATAAACTACAAAGAATTTATTGCCTTACTCGGTGGTTTGTGTCATGTGCTCAAGCCTACCCACTCGCAATGGTGGAAAATTTTAAAGCATTACAAATGCAGAGAGCATATCAGTGTGTCTCGCTATAGATCGACAACGGTGTCCTTTCATCTCTGCTCTCCCGTCCCGATTACTACGAAGCATATCCTAGATCGCATGTATTTTCATCCACTGATATGTTAGTTTGTTTCTTTGAGAGATGACCACGTCTCCATTTTTTAAACAACATGTAATGAGAGCTAAAGAGACCTGGTGGTGCAGTGGTTAAGCACTCAACTACTAACCAAAAGGACCACAGTTCTGGGCAGCTCTGAGTCAGAATCGTCTTGGTGGCTCAAAAACAGCAAGAGCTAGTTTGCCGTCATTTTATTTTGAGTGAAGAACAGCGTTCCCGTTAGACCAAAATAGATGCTGGTCCCACGTGAGGAAATGAAACCACTTTAGAAAATATTGACAATTTTCATAACTCTTAGTGTCCGTAGACCGTTTTTTCCACCCCCTCTTCTTTTTCTGTTGACGCTTTCCCTGCACTTCCACAAGGGGGCAGAGAAAGGAAGAGAGACGTGAAATTTAAATGAGTCACAGTCAGATGGAGTTGTAAGACATTTTGGGGTGGCTTTTTAGCAACCAGCAATGACTCCTTCTTTTGGAGCTCCTTACAGTGTTCTCAGACACCAAATAATACTTGATACTAAGGAAAATGTTAAATGATAAAGTCTTTATTTTTTTTTAATGGTTTCCTTAGTGTTGTCAGAACCTTTGAATTTCCCTGTTAATAATTTGGGCTTTAATGAAAATCCACCATTTGAATTTGTATCTGATTTTTGCATGCAATACTTTTTGGGTAACTATTAGATTTTTCTGCTCCCTGGGTGATGACAGCCCTGCCCAGTTCCTTTATTTTAGCGGGCATGTGATTAGAAGTTGAAGGTACACAGCTACTGTCTTTATCCCAAAGCAGCTTTCCCCCTTCTTAAGGAATCTCAGTTAGTATGGCAGGGTCACTGAGTGAATTTTGTTCACAAATACCTACCAGTATATTCTGGTTAATTTCTCTATGCCAAAGACAGTATTCTATCTGAAGCATGCTTGATACTGAGCACCCAGACCCCATATAAACTGCCTTTTAACCTGTAGAAATTTTAAGTGAGCATCTGTGCAGCTTTGTGAAGCCTAATTATTTCTTTATTCCCAAAGACTGATATTTGGATACTGTGATCCGTGGGATGTTTTCTTCAGTGCGATTGTGTATCCACTCTTCTTGTTCTTTACTGGTTTCCCAATAAATATGTTTCTGTAGGGGAAAATGCTGTTTTCTGAGTAGACAGTCAGACTCAGATTTTGTATACGTGACTTTAGCTGTTATAAAATACTGAGAAAATGATGGGGTAAATTTGTAAGAATTCCTTTTGTATAAATTTTGACACCTGTCTTGCAATCAGTGTTTGGCCTCCTGTTGCCATTGCACTGTGATCGGGTTATCAAAGTCTGTCTGTCCCCGCAGCCTGACACATAACTGTAATCAAACAGTTATCTTACATTCCTGGAGCATTCTTTTTTTTCAGCACTTAATGCCTTTTATTCCTGAGCTTCATGCATGAATTATGTAGCATATGTGAAGAGGCTTAAACTGTTTCCATTACATTCTTTCTGGATGGCTCCTGTTATATTTAGGATATACTTATACTTTAGACAAAGTAAGAATGTTATTGTTGTTGACCTTGACACCAGATAACTGGGCCGACATTATATAGCTATGTTTGAATCCTCACAAAATGTGATGTTAAAGCCAACAGACTCCTGGCGGGAGACTCTACTGGACAGCAGAGTCATGGAGCTTTTCTTCACAGTAAGTGTCCTCTTCATCGCTGCCTGTGAGGGCCATGGAAACAGTGCCCCGAGCAGAGGAGATGCGTTGCTATTTCTCTTAAGTAAAACAGGACAGATTATGTCTCTTCCTCAAAACGTCATCTGATCAGTTTATCTGCTTGGACAGAAATCGCATAGAAAGGTTCTTGCTAGTTTATTAAAATGTTATATAATTATGAAGGGTTTAATATTCTCGGAAAGAAGTTCTCAAACTTTTTGGCCTCTAGGACCCTTTCACCTTTGGAAAAATAATTGAGGCTCCTAAAAAAGCTATTGTGAATGTGGGTTATAGCTGCTGATATTGACCATATTCAAAACTAAAACTGAGACCTTTTTAAAAATGTTTATTAAATCATTTAAAAATAGTACTGGACCATTAGGTATTAACATAAATAACATGTTAATGAACAAATAACTATATTTTAGGAGGAAAAAGAAATTGAGTGAGGAGTGGCATTGTTTAACATTTTTGCAAATCTCTTTAATGTCAGGCCTTAATGGAAGACTGCCAGATTCTCAGATTTGCTTCTACATTCAGTCTGTTGCCGTATCGCCTATCACAGCCTCTGGGAAACTCCACTTGTATGACAAAGAAAACAGAAAGACAAACATTTTCTTAGTAATATTATGAAACTAGTTTTGACTTCATAGATAATTCTGAAAGGGTCTCAGGACCCTTTAGGGATGCCGGACCCCTTTGAGATCTCCTGTTCTCTAGAGTATTACACTTTTTATGTACTAGTGACGGTTAGCAGCCGTGGGTTAATCTAGTAATATTGAATAGTAATTTATTGCAGTAATAATTTAAAATTATTAAATCCACCTGCTTATTGTTTGGTAAATACCAAGAAGTGAGCAGTGTGGTTCCACTTTGATCCATGAGTTCTCCCAGTACAGTAGTTCAAAAATACATGTATATGATGTGGGCATGGGCGCGTGTGTGTGCATGCATGCATGCATGTGTTGCTGCACGCATGTGTGTGTGTTGGTTGCTAATCTGCAGTTATAAGGTAAGTATGCAGGTTAGATAGAAGTTCAAATAAAGATCAGTTAAAAAGAGAAAAAGCTGTTTTTGCTTAATCCCAACTATTATAATCTCTTTTTAATTTTTTTTTAAAGTGTTTCTTACTAGTCTTATAACTGCATTTCTTTTTAGATTGCACCATTTGAATATTTTAGTTAAGTGGTATATATCTACAAATATCTAAAACAAGGTTCTCCATCCACAAAGATGTTTCCTGTAGAAATGTTCAGGCTGATTATTAATTACTTTGCATTTTGTTTTTTAAATCAGAGGAATGATGAGACTAAAAGCCCCATCAAGATCAAAGGGATAATTGTAACTAAATTTTAAATTTTGGTTGCCTGCTTCATCTGCCGAAATTGTTTTGATATGTATCCAAGTTCAATTCTTTGTATTATTCATTTGACTGAAAGCCGATCCTGCTCCAGCAGTTTTTGAAAAGGTGAAAAACTTGCTGGCAGTATTGGAAACAGCTCCACCAAATCTGAACAGCTGTCTAGACAAGCCAGACAGCTGCTCCTGTCAGCTGTGAACCACCACATGCAAATAGCTTTTGTATTTAAAAGTTAACCCTTTTTTATATTGTTATTATAATAGTTATATAATATTTGTAGCTACTTAGGTTTCAGCAGTTTATGAACACTTTTAATTTTATGTTATTAGGAAAATGACAATGGCTACTCTTTTTATTTAATTCCATTTTTGTTAAATTTAGTTTCAACTTTGTGAGTTCATTAACTCAGTTAAAACAGTTTTCCACCAGACATCACTATTTCCTTAGACTTGAAGAACTACATAAATGTACTCGTGCATGGGGTGGTGATGGTGGTGATGGTGTCTCCTGTTGAAGTGGCTCATAGGAACCCCATGAGACAGAGTAGAACTGCTTTGTAGGGGTTCCTGGGCTGTAATCTTCACTGGAGTAGATTGCCAGGTCTTTTCTCCCGTGGAGTGCGCTTGTGAGTTCAAACTGCCAGCCTTTCTGTTGGCAGCTGAGCATTTAACCACTTTGCCACCAGGGTGCCTTTGCATGAGATTAAGGCTTTAAATATGTTGATCATACCTGAATGTAGGAATACTTTGTATTTTATTCTGCACCTCAGAAGTTTTCAAATTTCTTGAAATTTATCCTGAGATAACCACCTATTAGGTTTTCCTCTGACGTTTTTGACAGATTCTTCCTGGTCTTGTCGTTGCTCTCTTTCTTTCCTCCTTGCATGAATACTGGTGTTCCTGCCTTAGTTCTCAACTTTGCTGACTGTGTGCACTCTCCTTGGCTCTCCTTCCACGCGTAGGCCTTCAGGCACCTCTTCTGTCCCAGTGACCCTCTAATCTGTCTTCAGCACGGGCTGTTCCAGACTTCCAGAGCCATGCCATCCAAGTGCTTGCTGGGTGTCTTACTTTGGATGGCCACAGACACCTCACATCTGCTGTGTCCCAGGAAAACTCATCTCACTCATTTGCGTCTCCTTCCTTCGCTTTGTTTTGGTGGCTGGCTTCACCGTTCACCTTGCTAGATGTCCTCCCAGACTCTGTAATCCCTCTGCCTCCTTCCTGTATTCAGGGGTAAATTCACTTTGTAATTGAATTATGTAATATCACCTAAATGGAAATACTTTTGCAGATATGGTAGAGCTCCCTTCTAATGCTTACGTTGGAAGAAGGGCAAGAATCTGCTGTATTATATATGATTTAACCACTTATGAGTTTTATATGGTTCCTATTTCAGAGAACATTAGCTAAGCCTGAATAATGCAGGCAGACTTTGAGGACAGTCTTTTACTTTTATTTTTTTGTGTAGTGAACATTAACTATTTCACTATGATACTTTTCTTTTGATTCTTCTCAGACTTCTAGGCCAGCAACAAGCAGCATTTTGGCTGAACAGATAGATACGATTTTGAGATGGGTTTCTGCTATCCCCGATTGCAACATATCCACTGATAAAGTATGGTGGCACAGTGGTTAAGTACTCGGCTGCTAACCCAAACGTCTGTGGTTTAAACCCACTAGCTACTCTATGGGAGAAAGATGTGACAGTCTGCTTCCATAAAGATTAACAGCCTTGGAAACCCTATGGGGCAGTTCTGCCCTGTCCTCTAGGGGCGCTATGAATCAGAATCGACTTCACAGCAGTGGGTTTGGTTTGGACTTTGCTTCCGTAAAGATTTGTTGTTGTTTTTATGTGCCATCGAGTTGGACCCGACTCACAGTGACTCTTCCTTGGGTTTCTGAGACAGGATCACTACAGAAGTACATTGCCCAGCCTTCCTTCCGAGGAGTGGCTGGTGGGTTTGAACCACCAGCCTTCTGGTTAGCAGTCAAGTGCCTTACACACTATGCTACCTTAGAAATCCTGACGGGGCAGTTCTACTCTGTCGTATAGAATTATTGTGAGTCGGAATTGACTAGATGGCAGTGAGTTTGGTTTTGGTTTTATCCCTAGATGTAATGTTTAAATGTTGGTTAGGTTCCAAGGTATAATGACAGATACTTAGTTAACGTTTTTCAGATAATTCAAAAATGAATTGTGTTCAAAAGTTTACAAATTAGGCTGTATGCATATGTGAATTCATGTAGTGTACCTTGAATTTACTGTATAAAAACTTAAATATATGAGAATATATTTGGAGAAGCATTTATATTGCTCTAGACCAGAGGCCAGCATGCTTTTTCTGTAATGGACCATATAGTAAATACTGTGACTCTGCAGATCCTGTAATACAGAAGGAGCCACATGTGATACGTCAACAAACGTGCATGGCTGTGTCCCAGTGAAATTGTCCTAATAGGCATTAACATCTGAATTTTGTATAATTTTCGACTGTCATGAAATACTCTTTTGATCCCCCAAACCCATCATTTAAAGTATGAGCTACAAGCCATCCTGTGCTCAAGTTTGCCAACCCCTTTTCTATACAAAGAGGCTCCCATATTTTAAACATGTCAGTAGGTCACTTAACTTTGTGATTTTCAGAGCCTTTTTTAACATTTAAAAGTTTTTAAAGTAGACTCTTAAAAAGTTGGGGATGAAAAATCAGTAGGATCAGTCCATCAGTAAGGATTTATTAAATGCCTGTTCACTGGGTTCCTAGCATGGTACCAGTGAGAACTTAAGAGAAATGTTCTAACCTCATGTAATTTGTAAATGATTTGTGGAGGCAAAGTGAACATGGCCTGAGACAAATAGAACATAACATTCAAAATTCTGTGACCTTCATACAGTTAGAGAGGTTTGTGTAGGGAAGTATGACAAGGGCTGTTCTAGTCACAGGGCTTGTGGCAGTTAGAAGGTGGTCACAAAGTATATGTTATGGTAGATTAACAGTTACCATATCATGTCTTCACTAAATATATTTTCTTGGCTATTGTAATTATATCAGATTTCAGAAATGGAACATCTCTAAAACTTGAGGGTATTAATAGTGTGAAATTAGCGATCTTTTGGGAACATTTCCTTGATGCAGAATATTCTACACCAAGTGTTTTATATTAGCATTGCCTCATTGAAATAACATTCAGATAAGCCTGGCAATGGATTTTAATATAATTTAAATAAAATTCGAATGTAAGAAATTTTAGCGTTTATTAATAGAATAGCAATAACATAGGATAATGTGAGATTGGGCAGTCTCCAAATTAATGCTTATATATGAGGTGAATGAATGAATGTCTAGGGATTGAGCAGTATATTAATTTTCTAAGTCCACAACTGTTTACTTCTCCCAAGGTAGCATCGATACCCTCTTGATTGAACTTGTCAGCTAACTTTAGCAAGAAGCCGTAGCTAGGCATAGTTAGCATAATAGAGATGACTGTCGTCGTTGCTGTTTTTAGCAGTAGCAGTATGTCTGACTGGCTGGCATCTGTTTTTCTCTTTGTCATAACATGCTGGAGACAGTTCAATTTTCAAAATGTAGGTAGTCCTCGGTTAAAAATTAAATGGTATGTTTCAAATCATGGCCTCTGATGTGAAGTGGACTGAGGGCCAATTTTCAAATGTCATTTGAATTCAGGCATGCTATCTGTTTTCTAGAAATAAACAGCTACGGTGAATTTTTCTGTTACCTCATTCGTCATCATAGACACATGACCCTTTACAAAAGAAGAATTTATTTTTATGGATTAGTTACTCTTTCTAACAGGTACATCGAAAAATCAGAGAAGACTCAGATATGGCACAAGACTCTCTCCAGTGCCTTGCCCAGTTAGCTTCTCTTCATGGACCCATCTTCCCCGACGAAGGATCACAAGTTGATTACCTAGCTCACTTCATTGAGGGATTACTGAACACGATCAATGGGTAGGTATACTTGCCCTGTAGAACTGAAAAAGGAACTTGGATTTTTTTTCCTTGATGTTTAGCAGTGGAGGGAGAAAAGAACTAGTGATCTTCCCCCTTTTTATATTTCAAAGTGTAGTTTTGTCGGTATTTGGAACTAAAGACACAGAGCCATACCTTTGAAAAGGAATGAGTGGTCACAGGGGCATGTTTGGGAGCAGGTTATTGTAACTTTTCTTCCGCTGCCACCTAATAATGCTCGTTACTGGATTTGTAGAATTGAAATAGAAGATTCTGAAGCTGTGGGAATTTCCAGCATTATCAGCAACCTGATAACTGTGTTCCCTCGAAACGCTCTAACTGCCATTCCAAATGAACTTTTCTCCTCCTTTGTGAACTGCCTCACACACCTCACTTGTTCCTTTGGGCGAAGCGCTGCGTTGGAAGAAGTGGTGAGTGACTCATTTAATATAAATGGTTTCTTTTTTTTTTTTTTGTCACGAGGAAATTTGCTCTGCCTTCAGAACCTGTATCATGACAAGTCATTGTTTTTAGGTGAGTGCATTTATTGTTAACGTGGCCTTTTTGGTTTATATGTACAAATTATGTGTAGCTTATCTCTGGAAGCATAATGTTTAGCATTCTGTGGATTTAAGTCACTTTAGCTGACAGATTATATTGGTCTTAAGATTTGAATTGAGAGATTATTTAGTAGCTGAATGTAGGAAATGGAATGAAATGCTTATATTAAAATGATATTGGAAGCCCATTTGAACACTATAAAAGTGTTAAGTTATTTGAAAAGTTTGCATAAGGTGCTGCTGTGGTTATGATTATGTCTGATTTTGTAAAATTATCATATCATCTCTGAGAACTTTTGTCGTTCCCTGGAAATTATATAAATATAATTGGGTTCAAATAATTGTAACCATGCTTATTTTCTTTACATTGTACCCTTTCAGTTGTTTTGGTGGTATGGTTTAATGTTATATCACTGTAGAATTTAATTTACGTTATCAATTAAAACAGATAATACTAAAGCTGTTATTTGGGACAGATTTTCAAGTGTGTATTTTCCACATTTTTAATTTAAGTTATTAGTTAAACATGTACTAGAACCCCATAACCATAAGCCTACGTTTTGTTAACAGTTACTGTGAACAACTGAATTAATGGCAGAAAATAATTTCTCTTTTCTACCAAGTGGTTAATTGTTGAAATGAGATTTTCTTTTTGTAAATCAAAATGTGGATTTTTTCCAAAGAGTGTAAGAGGAAAAATAGTATTTGCAACTATTTATGAGACTTTTATGTTGAATCCTTATTGAGTTGTTTTGGAGAAGGTCTAGCAAAGTGGATGAGAGTTTTTCGTTTTCCTCCAGAGATTTTCAGAGACTGGAGAATTTGGGAATTTCTGTGTTTATGTAGTTGTACTTTAGTCGTTTGCAGAGGAAAGGAACTGAGTCAGATAGGATTGGTGATTATGTGATGGAAAAACAGAGATAGTGGAGGAAGAGAAGTTTTAAAAGCTTCTTACATGGGAATTGAATTTCTCAGGGGGAAAATTTGTGTTCTGAAAATAGAAATACGGAGAAATATTTAAGTAATTAAGCTTTATCCAAAGCCCTTCTCACTGATCACAAATCCTCAATTGTTCAGTTTCACGTAACATGGTTTCATTAACATCACTTGTTTCTTTTCTCTTCTGGACTAGGTAGATTAAACAGCATATTTATCAGACACTTAGAAACACAGCTACCTTTCAGTTTCTGTTTGTGGGTTAAGACTGTTCCTACACAGTCTCAAGAAGAATTCTGGAAGATACATGATGGTCTTGGTTTGCAGGTTTTAAGTTCAGAATTTCTTTATTTTGATGAAGAGACCGACAAACTTGTCAAGGTTAATAATTACCCTCGACAGTCCAACATAGAAATATCGGAAGTAAGAAAAACTAGAGTCATTTTTAGAGAGTGAGGTATAGCTTATGCTTTTATTTCACAGGAAGGCATGTTCTAGCCATGATACCCCTGGTAGGTTTCACGTAAGAAAGGTTCTTTCTTTTCATCTCTTGATCCGTTTCTAATACTGACTTTAAAAATACCTGGTGACCCACTGAAAAGGACAGAGGGAAAAGATTTGTCATTTGCATTAATTATAGAAGCCGAGTGGGGAGGTTTGGTGAGCTTGAGGGCTAAGGAGGTGGCCCCTGAACTGCCTGAGGACTAAATGAATGCTCTTAAATGTCATGGCCACTGCGAAGTTGGGCAGTGCATAGCAAATACCACGAGGACATGGACCGATCTAGCCAGACTAAATTAGCACCTCTCAGCCTCAGGCCATGCCATCTTTTGTTTCCTTGGACTACCAGTAATTGTAATACTGGTATATAATACAGAGTTGTTGGCCTGGGGTAGAAAAGTACATAAAGAAGTGGTTCTTTTCATTTAAAAAAAAAATGCTTTGGGAGTCAGAGTGTTGGGGGGCGATCATGAGCTTTGGAGTGAAGCAGCACAGTCATGGGTTCAAATAGTTCTACTGACAATCATGCAGGGACCGCAGACAAGCTGGTTTACCTTTTTGGAGCATGGAGCCTCTTTGGTACACTGGCAGCATAGTAATCATTCCTTCTGACATTGTATGGGATGGAAAACAATATGAAAGTACCTACACAGTATGTACAATAAAACGTAGACGAATAATTAAGAAAGTGAACTTCTCTAATAGCATTTATTGCAAACACTGATTTAGAATTTTAATTTTATAACATGTTTTCTGTGTGTGTGTGTGTGTGAGCACGCATGTTAAATATTGAAGGAGTTTCTGTTTTCCTCAGTAGAAAAAGAGGTTCAGCATATAGAATTTCGTTTTCTTTCAATATTTATTCAGGACTGTGTTTGCTGTGTTTAGGAATGCTTACAGATTGTCTTCTTTTTTTAGACATTCATATCTCTTAATATGATTATGTTGATGTAGCAGTGAAAAAAGGGCATCTTCATGGGAGCGAAAATTTTTGATTTTACTGTGTTTGCACAGTGTGTCCTTCATGAAGTATGCCTTGTGCGCTAGGAGGGTGTTGCTTGTGACTACTGCTGGACTTGGAATGACCTAAAAGTCATTGCTTAAAAAGAGCCATTCCGGTCTCAAGCCAAGTTGTTCTGTTGGTTATTAAAACTTCTTGGTATTACTGGTAGCTTCCTGAAGCCAAGATTTTTCAGTTACGACCCAGAAATTCCAGTATTACCCATTGCTGAACTGGGCAAGTGAGAATGATTGAAAAGATAGACTGATGTTGCCTGAGTTTAAGTGAAATAATTGCTCAAATTATTATATCAGCTATGTTTTTAAATATGTGTCTGATATCAGGACATGCATGTATTTGAATTGCTTATGTGAAATTCAAGTACAATCTGACATTGACTCTATGCTCTAGTTTGTTTCTTGCTTTCTTTTGTCAGCAGAAACCTTTGTTTATTCCAAAACCAAAACTCACTGCCATCAAGTCGATTCTAAATTCATTCCACAGGTAGGATAATCAGAAGCCATGGAGTTACAAACGTGGGGAGTAACAGAAACAGAGCACACTTCAAGAAGTTTAAGCATGGAAGTATTTGTATGTATGTTTAGTATATACATGGGTATGTGTGTGTCATGTGTAAGGGTGGTGGTGGTAGATATGCGTCTTTAAGGGAGAACTTTATATTTGTTACTAGTATGTTTGTAGCCTGATCTCCAGACCACTAGAAGAAGGTAATAAAAAAGTACTTGGTCTGGAAGTTTATTGCAGAATGTAAAGCAGTAGAATAATTTTGCACTTTGTTGAATGAATGAGTGCGTTTAAGTGTTAACATTCTTAATTCAGGGTCTGGTTTCTCTGGCTCATTGGATACTTAACTTTGTGCAGACGAGATGTAGTGAAAAGGAATACAGCCCTGCAAATAAAGTGAATGTAGTTCTCAGAAGCCAAATTGAGAAGTGGGAAGCAGAGATCTTGGGGTATTCTCTCACCCCCATCCCACACACACTTTTATTGTGGTAAAAATATACATACCAAGACCTTCACCAACGTAACGACTTCCACATTTACAGTTCAGGGATATTGATGACATTTTTCATGTTGTGCCCCCATTATTGCTATCCTTTTCCAAAATATTCCACCACCATTAGCATAAACTCAATGCCCTGCAAACAAAAGCTTCCTCTTTCCCCCTCCCTCCTATCTCTGGTAACCAGTAATAATATTTGGGGTGTGTGTGTGTGTGTGTTGGTTGCAGTTTTCCCTCCTCTATCCTCCTTTCCCCTCCCTAGTAACCAACATAGAAAATTTCCTTCCATATATAAACTTTTGCTTGACTTTTTTACAGTAGTGGACTCATACAGTATTTGTCCTTCCGTGATTGACTTATTTCACTCAGCATAATGTCCTCCAAGATCATGCACGTTATGCGGTGTTCTGCAGATTCTATGTTATTCTTTAGTGTTGTATAGTATTCCATCGTGTGTGTGTACCATAGTTTGCTTATCCATTCCTCCACTGATGGGTGCTTAGGTCATTTCCATCTCTTTGGTATTGTGAATAGTGCTGCAGTGAACATGGGTGTGCATATATCTTTTTATATCCTGGCTCTCACTTCTTTAGGATATATACCTAGTAATGGGATTGCGGGATCAAATGGTTGAGGTATTGACTTTTAAGAAGGAAGCAGTGTCTGGAATGGTGATGCAGTACAATGTAGATGTGTCTGTAGATGTAGTCTGTCTGCCCCTTCCCTGATGAAGAGTGGGATTGTTGGAGAATCCATGCCAACTTCCCCACCCACCCATTCCAATAGCTAGGAAAGAAGAAATTGGTGATCTGAAGAGAGCTTTGCAGGCTCTACATACCCATCATTTGAATTCATTTCCTGCTTTAAGAGATCTAAAAAAAGAATTAAAGGAAATACATGAGGATTTTTTTAAACCATGCAAATGAAAAGTATACTTCTTTTTAATAATAAAAATAGCTTTAGCTCTACTGAGATATTTTGAAAAAAACTGGTTACTTCCACCCATTGCCATCTAATCAATTCCAACTCATAGTAATCCTGTGGGACAGAGTAGAATTGCCCCAGAGGGTATTTTAAGGGTATAAATCTTTATGGAAGCAGACTGCCTCATCTTTCTCCCATGGAGTGGCTGGTAGGCTTGAACTGTTGACCTTTTGGTTAGCGTCCAAATGCATTAACCACCATACCACCAGAGCTCCTTAAAGTAGTTACTGGTGGCGTAGTGCCTAAGACACTTGACTGCTAACCAGGAGGCTGGCGGTTCAAACCCACCAGCCACTCCTCAGAAGGAAGATTGGGTAATCTACTTTTGTAGTGATACGGCCTCGAAAACCCAAGGAGGGGTCGCTGAGTCGGATCTGACTCGATAACGGGAGTGAGTTTAGTTTCTGGTTTTGGTTTATTACACCT